TAGTTGACCAGGAACCTTTACAGAGTTCAAAGATTACAAATTATTTAACTTCAGTGGATTCTCATCGTGAACCCTCGATAAGATATCAAGAGAGTTCCAAACTAGAAAGATGTTATATTGTTTGTAAGTTTGTGAAACTTTTGTTTATAAATCTTTGTTTGAGATAACTATTTGTAATAATTGTTACTGTAAATTGTATTGTTATGTGTATATTAAAACGTATTTGTGTTAAAAATGAAAACGGTGTGTATCAATCTTGTTGGCAAATATCATAAACTGTCTATATATCGACATATATTTAAACAATAAATCTAAAGTACAATTTAACTACTAAATTTAAATTATCAATTAACTCGGCTTCGGTCTATTCGAAATTCTAATACATAACAACATTCATCGTTCAGAACGTTTTCACCCTAAAAATGTTTGATTAACAAGTTGTTGTTTTTTTTGCAAATTTCTTTTGTCTAGTGTTAATGAAATTATTTCTGTTTTAGGGCAAGCTTGTATGTCCAGTAGCTGACTCATCTGTTTCATTCAGCTAAGACTTTCTCTAATTAGATAATTAACTCTACATCAAAAAATCTTATTCCTACATTTTCTTGAACCGAATTCTGGTAGATATTCAAATTGGTTGGTGTACATTACCATCGATTTAGCAAAAGAACCTTTAATATATATTTTTTATTACAATGTCTATCGTTGCTAAGATGGTCAGCATTAGACTTACATCTACGAGTTCTTTCTAGCCATACTCAACAGAAATGAGTATGTAGAACATGAAAACTAGAAAGGTTGTCTGCTTTTTCAGCGTTAGTGGTCTCTGTTTTGTTTTGTTTTGTTTTTACCCCAGGTATGTGACGAAGCTGTTCCTTTGTGTCAGGTGAAAGGCGGCATGTTTCTTGTTATCATGTATGATTAGATACTAGCTAATGTTGGAGAATGCATTCTCTATTCAGCCCTCCTTTTCGAGAAAAGTGGTTTCTTCCAATAATTATTCTACAAGAACAGCAAATTAACATACTGTTTGCTGAAAAAATGTGTCGTTTTCACTTCACCGCGTATTATCCGAATTATATTTGAATTGAACCGTTTCCTTCAATTGATAGTCTTGATATAGTAGATAGATCGGGTGTCATCTAGAAACAAGTCGATTGAGTTTGTGATTAAAATTGATAACCTGCTTAAGATTTTTGTCTTCTGATTAAACCTAGCAGCATTAAATTAATACCCAAATTATACAACATGTAGTTTGATCTTCAAAAGCCAAGGTCATGATTATGAATATGAAGTTACAATATTACGCAGAAATTATCATGTGATATTATCGTCAAAGGTCAAGACCACTATCTAAGGATTTAGTGTCTTCTGAAGAGGATGTAGGAGAAAGTATTCATCACGAGATTTTGATCCTGAACATTAAAGGCCATTCTGTGGTTTGCTATGTTGACAGTCTATTGTTTCTATCTCCTGTTCTAGAGTTATCCAGCTTTTTATTTTAATTACCTTGTAATTAACTACACATTTATGAACAGGATAACCATGTAGTTGTTCACTAATTAAAAAGCACTGGCCATTTTTATTTCGAGGGCTTTTATGTTAGTAATCAACTAGAATGAAAATGTTTGAAGCTTGCAACTGTAATGAGTATGATATCTAGTCAAAAGAGAACTTTAGTAGAAGTGTCACTATATATTATAATGTTCGTGAAATGAATTATAGTTCATACACACCCTTGAGCTATTGTAAAGTTCAAGTTCACGAATATGGATCAGACCTGGTCGAGGAATGCTATCCTAGTAGAATACTGATAAATGAATAATATTATAACTATAACTAATATAACTCAATATCATCATGTCTAAGTGAGCAAAAGTTGTCAGCAGCCACAAAATAACAAAGTGAAAATATCAAATATTAAAGTATAATCCAAATACAAGCAGAGACAAACCGGCCAGAAATAAAAGTTAATAATAAAAACAAAATGAAAAACATGTTTTACATTTATATTTTTATATCTGTATATTTGTCTTTGGGCGCATTTCAATTAAATTTTAAAAAGTGATATATAGTTTGTGTGTGTGTGTGTGCGTGTGCGTGTGTGAAATTAATCAAATTCAATCAATCATTGAGAAGTTTTCAATCACCACAGATTAACAGTGGTTTAAGTTTGTCATTGGGAGGGTGAATCACCCATCATACCCCGTGGTCTGTGTAGTCGTACTTATTCCCTGAAGATCTGTCTAGTGTGCTGAGTAATCAAATTAGGTTAACTGATTCTGTTTTGTCTGCTTTTTTCTTCTAAAAATTGCTGTATTTGTCATGGATCCCTAAGCTCATACGCTTAACAAGTCTCTTGCGTGACTACATTATTCTGATTTATTGTTATTCACTTAAATTTATTTTGTTAATACACCTCGTGAAAAACCATGTTCTATTTTTCCTGTTTTCGTACAAATGAAGTTTTTAACGTCGTTATGAATATGTTGTCTCAAGTTAACAAACGACTTGTGCATTTACTTGCGAACAAACATTATTTTGTAAATGGGCTCTAGTGGTAAGTCTCAAAATTCATAACCCTTAAAACTTGGTTTCAATACTCGTGGTGGACACAGTATAGATAGTTCACTGTGTTGCTTTGTGTTTAACGACAAACCTTTGTAATTGTTACAGCATCACTTTCAGTTGGTTTAACTTTAATGAGTAAAGTTCGGTCTGTTTTGTCTTTAATCTACAGACTTGAACAGGGTGGGAATTTTAAGGATATTAGTTTCATGTGTATATATTTGTCTTTTTAGTTGTGACTATTTTTATTTATATATATATCTAGTTACCATACAAAAATAACAGCGACAAATAGCAAAACAAGCCTTCAACCAGTTTGCTACTTTATAGAAGTGGTAAAAATAACGAATTATAGTTAATGTTTTTTCCTTCGGAAAAATCATAATGAGAATATGATTACAAAGTACGTTTTATTCCTGTTTTAGCAGGTGCAGAAAATCTAACAAATTTATGTATTTTAATTAATTATAGTAATTGCACGAAAAATATTAAATACAGTATTTTGATGTTGGTGTGTTTAAAATAGAATAAAAAATGCCTTAATGTACAGGGTATCAAAGAATTTTGGAAACACTTTTGAAAAGTCATACTTCGAAAACCGTTTAAGTTTATTGCTGTTTTATAGCATACAATCACCAGATGTCAACATGTGCAAAATGAGTTATACGCAAAATGTCGGTCTGTACCCAGTCTCCAGCCAAGTGTTTTTACAACATCGCAGGAGTAATCTTACTAGTGTAAACCATGCAGTTTACGAAGTCTCATAAATAAAATCCATAGACGTAATCTTCGGAGAACACGGGGTCCAGCTGATCGGCCCTCCCTGGCCAATCCACCAATTGAAGAGTTTCATCAAGTTTGTTGCGGACACTGCGACTCCAGTTTGAAGGGTTGCCGTCCGCTGGAATAACACCTTAATCTATATAAATAAACATCAGTATGTGTATGTATCTGTTCCTTATGTTTCCACATTTCTTGATCAATAAGCACCACACTTGACACAGTGATACAGGATCACATGAGGAAGGTTATGGTGGGGGGGGGGGCTTGGACCTCATCTAATTTCATATTGATAGAATTATTAGAAACAGTACGTCTTTTCAGTATTGGTACATTTATGTTATTTTATTGCAGTTTTAATCTTTATTATGTTAAGAAAAAAACACAATTTCCTATCCTTTGTTACAAACGAGTTTTATTTCACCCGTCCAACGGACAGGTACTCCAGCTAGTAAAATATATTGGGACTGTTATTCTTGTGCGTGAAAAACACCGTGTGCGCCTTTGTTAAATGATTTTCCCTGTATGATTTCCAAAGTTCTTTGACAACCTATAGTTTTGAGCTTGCTATATTAGATGGTGTCAAATGTTCTGTTGCTTGTATCAGCGTCTTAGAAAGTTTGAAAATATAATAATAATACATAAAACAAGTGCACAACTTAATTAGAAGAACAACTAAATACCGTAGTTTAGTATAAGTCAGTTAAAACAAAAGAACACAAATTCTCCTCCAAGAGGGGGGAGTGTTTATTTATTTTTTTAAAGATTTATTTCAAATTATTTGTTCCAGTTTGCTCTATGGAGATTGTACCTATAAATATTAAGAATCATTTCTTTTATTATTTCAACAGAAATGTAAAAGTGTGGACTTCTTCACAAATGATTATTGTAGCTGTTGCCGATGTTGAACAAAATATCACGTACTGATGGTAGCTCCGAGCAAACTAGAAAAAATATGAACCTGTTGCTAAGCAACACAGGATATTGCTGTTGTGAGATGCTTTCCTTAGAGGAGTGGATCTAGGATGTGGCCTGGAGAAAGTTTTGTTCATCAATCTGTTAGTAGGATCACGTGGATTTGTCTGGCTTTGGTATGGGCAATAACTCGGCTGTGTCACGTGTTTGCGAATCAGAATCCTCCTATTGTGGCTTCTTTCACTACATTCAACAAAAGTGTAAATGTTACGCATGTTGTGGTGGACCAGCATTCAGGACAAGTGTATGTCGGTGCTACTAACTGGCTGTACCAATTCGATAGTTCACTGGAGCTAGAGAAAGAGGTCAAAACAGGTCCCGTGGAAGACAGTATACAATGTTCTCCAACGGACTGTTTCCACCAGAAAAAAATGGTCACAAACAACGTTAATAAAGTCCTAGTCATCGACAGTCAAGCAGGAAAGCTCATTGTCTGTGGTAGTGTCCATCAAGGAGCCTGTCGACGTCATCAGCTTGGGAACATTAACATTGTCGAAGACCTGGTTCCTGTTCCTGTAGCTGCAAACGACGAGAACTCTTCGACATTTGCCTTCATTGGTCCAGCAGAGTATTTTAGTTACCCATCCAGGGTTCTCTATGTGGCCACTACTAATAGTCGCCTGGGACCATACCGGGACATGGTCCCTACTATAACGAGCAGGAGTCTTGAGGAGGATACTGGCCGTTTGTTTGGAATCATCGAGAAGTCGTTTTCCACCATTGCCAGAGTGGACATTAGTTTTCACTTGCGTGACTACTATTTAGTCAGCTATATCTACGGCTTTCATTCTGGTGGCTTCATCTACTTTGCTTCCGTACAGAGGAAGTCTCACTTAAGGGCGTTAGAGGAGTGGGGCTACGTGACCAGACTGGCCAGAGTATGTGCATCTGACGCTGGATATAACACTTATACGGAAGTGACCTTACAATGTGTAGGGCCTGACGGTACGAATTTCAATTTGCTTCAGGATGCCAGTGTGGGCTCAGCAGGTGCTGATCTAGCTTCAATCCTGAGAATTCGACCTGGAGCGGATGTTTTCATTGGGGCTTTCGCAGCTAGTAAGGATCACACGTCCAAGCCTTCTCGGAAGTCCGCGCTCTGTATCTACTCGGTGGCCGAAATTGAACAACGGTTTACAGAAAACATCCATCTATGTTACAATGGCAGTGTTCTCACAAGAAATATGGACTATATTGCTGGAAGTATCAACCAATGCCCGGAATCTGGAGTAAGTTGGAGTTAAATCTTAAACTTTTGTTTTCAACAAATTCCAATATTCTTTGATAAATTGTTTAGGTAGGGTATCATGATGAGTATACTAGAATTGACGGCAACTGCCTGTTGTACAAAAAAACAACAAAAACACAAATTTCAATATTATTTTATTTAAAAAATATCTATTTGTATATTTCTAATACGATTTCTTATAGTTAACGTAAGCATATAATTTACTGATCTTAGCCGTTATTCCCACTTAATATAATTAAATTCATTAGACATTTCATTTCAAAATATTCTAGCATAATAGGTCTTCGACTGCTATGCCCATTTAAAATTATTACATTTGTATTCCAAGTAATGGGCAGACGTGAGAAGAGTGAAATTACTAAACTTTCCTTACTTATTTATAAAGTAATTAAGCACTGAGGAAATAAATGCATATAAGTATTTAATATAACTTATTTAGGCTTCTTGCAGTTCGATATATATTACTAAGTCGATAAAAGTTACAGAATAGTCCGTGTTTGAAGGACAAAAAGTAACATCGTACGTGTTTGAAACTGTTTGCTCCCAAACTCCGTGATTTAGTCTTAAGATCAGTCTCGGGTGCACCTCACTAACCTCAGCAATATTTTGTAAAAGAAATAACCGCAGAATCAACTTTAAATCTGCCAAATAAGTTTAAAGGATTTATTAAAAGTTTGTTTTTGCATAGTGTTTTATTGTAAAAATTGTTAGCATGTAACATATTTCTTACACCGGTTTCTCGTATTGTCTTTATTTTCCACTCTTAAAGCTGCCTTGCTGGCCTTATGTGTGTTTGTCGATTGAAAAGCATCGGTTTTTCCGTTACATGTGTATTTTCACTATAAGTAATAATATCAGATATTGATACGAATCATAAGCTAAAGGGGTCGGGCGTGATCCATTGTGTAAATGCTGGACTGTTAATCCAAAAGCCCTCGGTTCACGTCCGGTTGCAGTAAAATTGTGATCCGTATTTTGGGGTCATAAGTGTCTTATAAGAAAGGCAATCAAATCCTACTATTCCATCAGACAAGAGCAGCCAAAGAGTTGGCGATGGGTGCTATTGATTAGCTGTCTTCTCTCTAGTTTATCAGTTCAATATTAGAGATGACTATCACAGGTAGACCAGTTTAGATAAGCCTTGTGTAACTTTGCACGAATATTCTAAACAGATAGACGTAAGCCAAAGCTAAACAAGTTTCTTTTGGAGGTTTTTCTTGGATGTATTTAGCGCTTCTTTGCCTCAAATTGTAAGGACAACTCCTTAACATCGTCACTAAATATTTTGTAGGTGTTGAGTAGAAATATTTGGTGGTTTGGAGAAAGCATCACATGAAATTCGTAAATCCATAAGCGAAGCACCAATAGAAAGGTCTACACAGAAATGTGAACGGTAAAAGAACATCTGACGCCTTACTTATCCAGTTGTTAGTAAATTCAGTTGTTTCTACCACATCATTTCTATAAGCTTAGAGAGTAAACCACTATTACGGTTAATACGAAATGGTGTTAGAATATTTGCTATATTAACAAACTCTGAGTTTTTGTGACTACTGCCCTGTTCTGTAAGAGAGTTATATACTCTGTAACGAATTTGTTATGTATTTATTTTAATATGAACGTTGTTTAGATTAAGTTTATATTTAGAAACATACATAGCTTATACTGTTAGATAGGTATTGCGAAACTCCCGCCTATTCTCCACAGTTGTAGAAGATTCTCTAGAGTAAGAATCAACAATATATCTATATACGTAAACGCTTTAACCAGTATTGTTACGTAACACTTAATTTTCTAGAAAACCTTCCCACAGCTATAAATATAACAAACGCGATGCGCCAAGGAGAGTATCTATTATTAGTTCGCTATAATCAGTGTG